CACTTTAGTCAGTACCAGTTTTATACTACACTCAGTACCAGTTTTATACTACACTCAGTACCAGTTTTATACTACACTTTAGTCAGTACCAGTTTTATACTACACTTTAGTCAGTACCAGTTTTATACTACACTCTACTCAGTACCAGTTTTATACTACACTTTAGTCAGTACCAGTTTTATACTACACTCAGTACCAGTTTTATACTACACTCAGTACCAGTTTTATACTACACTTTAGTCAGTACCAGTTTTATACTACACTTTAGTCAGTACCAGTTTTATACTACACTTTACTCATCACCAGTTTTATACTACTCAGTACCAGTTTTATACTACACTTTACTCAGTACCAGTTTTATACTACACTTTACTCAGTACCAGTTTTATACTACACTTTACTCAGTACCAGTTTTATACTACACTTTAGTCAATACCAGTTTTATACTACACTTTATACCGACAAGATAAAAAATGGGCCTAGTGTTCTAAAAGGTTTTCCCTATACCGATAAAATAAAAAGGGGCCTATTGTGAAAGTTTAAACCTAGTACTGAACAGAGTGTAGTATAAAACTGGTACTGACAACAACGGGCCTATTGTGACAAGCCTTCCTATACTGACAAGATAAAAACGGGCCTATTGTGACAAACTTTCTTATACTGACAAGATAAAAACGGGCCTATTGTGACAAACTTTCTTATACTGACAAGATAAAAACAGTTCCAGTGTTATGAGAGGCCTTCCTGTACCGACAAGATAACAACGGGCCTATTGTGACAGGCCTTCATGTACCGACAAGATAACAACGGGTCTATTGTGACAAACTTTCCTATACTGAGAAGATAAAAACGGTTCCAGTGTTATGAGAGGCCTTCTTGTACCGACAAGATAACAACGGGCCTATTATCTTGTCGGTACAGGAAGGCCTGTCACAATAGGCCCGTTGTTATCTTGTCGGTACAGGAAGGCCTGTCACAATAGGCCCGTTGTTATCTTGTCGGTACAGGAAGGCCTCTCATAACACTGGAACTGTTTTTATCTTGTCAGTATAGGAAAGTTTGTCACAATAGGCCCGCTTTTAGCCGCGGCATAACGGCTCTAAGTTTTCCAGTACAAACTTTTAACTCATAGCTCTGTTATCTCTTGACCGATTTGAGATCTAATTACAGTTTTGGACTCAGAAGGTCAAACCCTTTCGACTGACATACTTGACCATGCCCAAGGTTTTGTAGATTAATTTACTCTAATCCTGCCTGTTTGACAGTTTTTAGAAAAATTAAACATATTACGTAGATCGCAGATCAATGTAGCTTCATAATACAGCAGGTTGTTCCATTAGAAAAATGTAATCTTTTCGCTATCAATAAGACTTGTTTCTGTTATTTCCAACCTGGAATTTCGTAATAAGGTGTAATATGGCTAGAGGGCGTTCTTTATACAAATGTACGATTAAGTATTTCCCCTCAGGATGTAACTATTTTCATTACGAATGAAAAAGACCGTTCAGCTTGAGAGGAATAGACCTGAAACAAGAGTGTATGGAAATATTATTCTACTGTTGACTGAAGTTATCTGTCATCGTGTAACATTATTTGGTGTTACTTTAAGGACAGTGAAAGTACAAAGGCCAGTTTCTAAGATATGAAAGCTTGGTGCAGCCTCTTATCGTGTAAAGCATGTTTTTTGTGCCAACTTTTTGGGAGGCGTTTCTGAACTTCAGAACTTAGGATTAACGAGACAGATATTTTACTAATCTTCAATGAAATTAAGAACGAAAATTATTATAACGGTTTTTGTTTTATTATTATTATTATTATACATTAATTACCTACTACAAATATCTGGGGCCCGACACGACTTGATAGATAGGAGCACTTTCCTTTAGTTTATCACTTCAAAATTAGGGACTCCTAGCGGAGATAACCTTGAACTACCTTTGGGTGAAATTCAACAAACAAATTAGGGACGCCTAGCGGAGATAACCTATAACTACTTTTGGGTGAAATTCAACAAACAAATTAGGGACGCCTAGCGGAGATAACCATAACTAACTTTGCGCAAAATTCCACAAAAAAAGAAACAAAATTGTTTTCTGGTAAGCCTCCAAGAAGATTGCGAGTATTTTATGTTAGTTTAGTGTTAATAAAAAAGGAAAAATACTATAACTAATTTCTGTGCAGCCCCGAGGAGTATGGTCTGTAAACACGGGCGTCCGCGGGGTGGGGACAAGGGGGCAATGTATTATTTATATGAAGTGGTAAGCCTGCAGGTAAAATCTGTGTTTGTTTCAGCACAAAGCTACACAATAGGTTATTTCCACTTTGGAGAATCGAAACCCGGATTTTAGCGCTGTTAGTCCGTAATCTTACTGCTGGTCGAGCTGTTTAAAAGTTACGGTTTAAACCAAAAGCCACGAAAAATAGTTTTCAAGTCTTTTGCCTCTCATCGCCCAGCTCAACTGATGAGTTCTGGTATTGTCGAAAGGCGTCTTGGATAGTGACTTGTGAGAGACAAAAGATAGATCGGAATTGTTAACTTTAAATTGTCAAATTGTTGATCTTTAGTCGCATTGGGCAAATTAAAAAGAATGTGATAAAAACAAACATATATATACTGCTGTTAACTTGATGTTGTCTCCCAGTGGGACAGCGGTAAGTTTATGGACCTACAACGCTAAAATCCGGGGTTAATTTCCTGATGTTTGTAAAAGGTTTTATTGTTCCTGTTTTATCTGCCACTCGTAATGTAAAACAAAGGTCAGTGATTTTTTTTTAAATTATTTAAAAACTTTTGAAACTGGAATATCAGTTACTATTTGTATTTCACTAGAATTGAAAAGTAGAAAACACGAATAACCTTAACTTCACCTAATAAACAAACCCATCTTTAAACAACCGGGATGACGTTTCGCAAGAGAACAAACTTGTAAGTGTTCTAAAATTGAAATGTTTTGTTACGACAGCGGAAGTCACGTGACGCTGGTAACACCTCATGAGATTCTCGAAGGATCATAACTTTCGTAAGTTTCGATACCCGTGGGGAACACAGCACAGATAGCCCACTGTAGAGCTTTGCACTTAACAACAGGATAAACTTGAGGTTCTATAGATGAATATCAACTTTTAATATGAATTGTAATTAATATCTGTTGTTTCTGGGGTTTCAGGAGTTTTCCAGTGGTTAAAGGAACTTACGATCTACTACTGTCTCAAAGTTAAAATCAGACGTTATCGTCTACCAGAACCCCTTGGTAACCATGAAACATCCAACGGTGATGTTCGGACGTTAGGAATTTTACCACTGCTTACAGATGAAGAGCATGAAAATCCAAGACAGGTGACGCTTCTGTTTGTTGTTTTTAGGGTTAAGGTATTATCTAAAAGATAAAAGGTAACCTCACCATTGTAATTGGATATGGAGTAACATTTTTAGTTCATATCTTGTATTCTTGAGGGAATATTTTTTATGTGTGGTTAACGAATTGTATTCAAAAGGTTCGTCTTTCAAGGGACAATCCAGACAGAGGGACAAATCACATCGGATGATCGATAGGGATGAATAAGACTTGCTAACAATAATCTTTCCAGAACCAACTTATTTTCGACCACCATACCCCCTTCCATTCTTAGAGTTAATTTAACTTCTCATAATTAAGATGAAGACAAAACATTTTACCTACAAGGTAATCACTTCTAATAATGAAGACAAAACATTTTATTTACAAGGTATTGACTTCTAATAATGAAGACAAAACATTTTATTTACACGGTATTGACTTCTAATAATGAAGACTGTTGACAAAACACAAAACATTTTATTTACAAGGTATTGACTTCTAATAATGAAGACTGTTGACAAAACACAAAACATTTTATTTACAAGGTATTGACTTCTAATAATGAAGACTGTTGACAAAACACAAAACCTTATATTTACAAGGTATTGACTTCTAATAATGAAGACTGTTGACAAAACACAAAACATTTTGTTTAAACGGTTCGAACGTTTCGGATTACACCCGTTCTATCTTCTGCGAAATTAGAAAATCCTGTTACAAGGATATTTAGTGAAACCGTAGGTACTTGGTGAAACTCTATAAACATTTACAGAATTGAGTAAAAACTGATAATGCGTTTATTGGCGAAACGATGGTCGTGAATAAATGATGTATTTGTGTAACGAACAATTGTCTTGTTTTCCTCAGTTCTATATTTATTATTAATTAAAACTATAACATCATTAATCACTAGTTTAGTTAGTTATTAAGTAAAGTGTTAAACAGAAGGATAAAACAAATAGACTATAGATTCATTACAAAACAGTTGAGTTTATATGTGTACATTTAGAATAACTTTAGATCTAAAGAGCTTTGTGAATCGTTATGAGTCGGACGATCTTTAGCTATGAGTAAACTTTCTCAAGGTCCTGAAGTAATGATAGAGATATGTGTAAATAAAATATTTTGACCTATGCTTTCAACATGTGAACGACTGGATGAGTGGCTGGGTATAAGTAGTGGACTTTTGGATATTTCTAAATGTTCACAGACTCTAGTTTTAAGTGATGTTCTGTTTTGTCAATATACGTGACCTTACAGTCACTACACGTATATTTATACGCCAGCCCTGAACGTAGAATCTTGATCTTTGTATATTGAAATAAGTTTTAAATTCGGAGGCTATGTTAGTCTGAGGATAGGCCTGTATATTGGTCTAAGATGAATTTGAAGGTAGAAGTGTTTTTTATTTGGGAAGGGAGATAATAGGGGAAGTTTGGGGACGGTGTGTACATTGGCTGGTGGTTGGAATTTGTTTTGTAGGAAATTGCGTGGAGTGTTCGTTAGAAAATCAGCTATTATTTAACACGTGCTTGTGTAGAAGGGTAATGTTCGTTAGAAAATCAGCTATTATTTAACACGTGCTTGTGTAGAAGGGTAATGTTCGTTAGAAAATCAGCTATTATTTAACACGTGCTTGTGTAGAAGGGTAATGTTCGTTAGAAAATCAGCCAGATAGCTATTATTTAACACGTCCTTGGGTAGAAGGGTAACGTTCGTTAGAAAATCAGCCAGATAGCTATTATTTAACACGTGCTTGTGTAGAAGGGTTCGTGTATAAGAATTCAAACAACGATTCAAAATTCTATTTATCAATGACACGACCAGATTACGTTTGAAGAAGGTGGGTATATAACTATTAAAATTGGTGTAGAGGTCAGTAAAAGTCCTTTTATATAAACAAAGGTAGAAAAGTGTTGGTAATCCTGATGTTAGGATATTGGTGTGAAGGTAAGAAGCGTGACTCGAATGTCGGAACAGTAAGAAGTAATGTATTCTGAAACCTTGTAAATAAACGTTTTGTCAACCATCTTCATCTTCATTATTAGGCTTCGGTTTCCTCATCATGAATCCATTACTAATTTGACTTCTTCTCAATAGATGCAGCCTGATGAGGTCTTCTTTGGAGCAGTTGACACGGAAGATCGTAAACTGATTCTGAAGATGACATGTCATAGAAACCATCTGACCGAAGTTTGGCTAATCCTTCATTTGCCAAATGGAGAAGTTTTAACTCTTCCCAGTTATCCAGACAGTCGGGTCCTTACTGTTCATCAGGGAAGTTACACCGCATCTGGGCTCAAGATGACTTGTTTGTCTGCAATGAGAAAATGGAGAATTACCTTTAATGGATTATTGAGAAGGTAATGATTGAATGATTCTTTTTTTACCACTTACAAAGTTAACTCTAGATTTGTAAGTTTTATATCAGTACCTTTTGATATATATTTTCTTCTTTGCTTTACGAGGATCACATTTATCTGAATATTGGATCATTTTTACTGTTAGTTCCTCACTTTAATGTATACCAATACTTGGATCAATGTTCCCTTGTTTACTGTGTTGGGCAACATTCTTGAAGTTTGGATATTTCTGGCTTACAGTTATTCCCATAAGTGTTATACGTGACCTAAATAAGTGTTTTTTGAGACTTGGATAATTATAACTTTCGATATTTTACTTCTGATAGTAGTTCTTACCTTTTGGAAGATGTTGGCTTTTCGTGTCCAAACTTTATTTCATTGTATGGCTTTACGCATACAAATCAAAGTTTTGGTCCTTCAAACAGTATGATACTTCTGGACGTACCTTTGTAAAGTCAAGAACAAAGGTAGAAATCACTAATGAATAATTTTAAAACGCTACTCAAATTAATTGAAAGCGAAAAGATAAAATAATGGTGTCAATAATTGAACAGTTAATTAATTTTACTTATGTCTTTAGTTATTTGAATACATAGAGTTGTTTAAACATTTGTCGGCTAACAATATGAAGAATTAAATTGTAGCGAAGTGTTACAAGTTCTTCAAATACCTATAGAATGATAGGTTTCTTTTTTATGGGTGTAAAACACTTAAATACACCAGTTCGACTTTAGTTATTTGTTTTTACTTATAAAATGAATTCTGTTCGAATTTGATGTATACCAACACAAGCACCCATATTGACTTGATTATAAAATAACCTGAAGATTGGGCGTGTGGGCTGTCCCTTTCCACTTGGTGAGCAGAACACAGATAGCCCATTGTGTAGCTTTGTGCTTAATTACAAACAAACAAACTATACACGTAGGCCCCCCAGTGGCTCAGCGGTATGTCTGCGGACTTACAACGCTAGAATCCGGGTTTCGATACCCGTGGTGGGCAGAACACAGATAGCCCATTGTGTAGCTTTGTCCTATCATTCTATTCACAGATTGTTTTATAATGATATCCTTTGTATTTTGTTTTATACGCTAAAGATGTTTTCGTGTAATTATAGTTATTTCGGGAAACATTTTATGTTTTTCATCAACAGGATAAAGACATCATCATCATCATCAGAAGACGAAGATCACGATCTTGTTCATGTTAAGTTTTCCTTCATGTGAGTATGTAATGTTGTGTATAAAACCAAACAAGTTGCACGTACAACCAAGTCTGTTCTATTGTTGTAGTGATACAGACAACCAAGTCTGTTCTATTGTTGTAGTAATACGTACAACCAAGTCTGTTCTATTTTTGTAGTAATACAGACAACCAAGTCTGTTCTATTGTTGTAATGAGACCGACAACCAAGTCTGTTCTATTGTTGTAGTAATACAGACAACCAAGTCTGTTCTATTGTTGTAATGATACAGACAACCAAGCCTGTTCTATTGTTGTAATGATACAGACAACCAAGCCTGTTCCATTGTTGTAATGATACAGACAACCAAGTCTGTTCTATTGTTATAATGAGACCGACAACCAAGTCTGTTCTATTGTTGTAGTAATACGTACAACCAAGTCTATTCTATTGTTGTAGTAATACAGACGACAAAGTCTGTTCTATTGTTGTAGTGATACAGACAACCAAGTCTGTTCTGTTGTTGTAGTAATACAGACAACCAAGTCTGACTATATTTAAGATATTGTTTTGCTCTATGTTTTAGGTACTGTTTCCTAACATAGAGCATATTTTTACTTTTAGATGGACAAATATGTACGGAGTTTATGATTTCAGGCAAGAACTACGATCACCTTTACTAGTTAGAAAGAAAGGCCTAAACCTGTTATCCGCTGTACAAAGGTAACGTTTCTCCAGTGTTTACAAAAAATCTAGCTAGTGGCACTTGACTAGTGGTTCTAAAATTCATCAAATTTAAGTTTTTAATTGCTGAGATTAAAATATTTTCATAATTCGTATGTAGAATTATCTCTCTATATAATAATGGCTTGAATGGGTAATGAAGAAAAACTTTAATATAACAGCAAATGTACAACGTTTCGACAAGTTTTGTCATCATCAGGTACAAGTAATTT